ATATCGGAGGACTGCTATCATGTCACCCCTAGTCCTTCTTTTCATTAAACTAGACATACCTAATTCCAGCAACCGTTCCTTGTATGTTTTAGCCTTCACCCCCCAACCTTTCATCCTCTTTCTTGCTCTTCTCTGCACTCTTTCTAGAGTCTCCACATCTTTTTTACATCGTGGGATCAAAACTGGATGCAGTATTCCAAGTGTGGCCTTACCAAGGCATTATAAAGTGGTATTAACACTTCACGTGATCTTGATTCTATCCCTCTGTTAATGCAGCCTAGAACTGTGTTGGCTTTTTTGATGGCTACAGCACATTGCTGGCTCATATGTAGTCGATTGTCCATTAGATCTGTCTCACAGTAACTACTATTGAGCCAGGTACCACCTATTCTATACCTGTGCAAGTATTTCTTGTGGTTGGATAGGAGATTATTTTGGGTGTTTTGTCCCTTTTAAAGTTCACCTATTCGAAGCAGATGATAGAACAAAGAAAAGTTGAGATACATTGGACTGGTACTGTGGATATGTACATTCAAATTTGCCATCTGTTGATTTTTTGAGTCTCACAAAATGTTTGATGTGGGGAGTCTTACACAATTCACCTTGAGTTCTGATAAAAAAATTGTTCCTCTCTTAAGAGTAGAATACAGGTAGTCCTCGACTTACGACCATCATTGAGCCCCAGATTTCTCTTGCTACGTCGTTCAGTGAGTTTTGCCCCATTGATGACATTTCCTGCCATCCGTTGTTAAGCGAATCGCTGAGTTGTTAAGCCAGTAAAGTGGTTGTTAAGTGAATCTGGCTTCCCTATTGACTTTGTGGGTTAGAAGGTCGCAATCACATGACCCTGGGGGGGGGGACGGGACACTGCAACTGTCATAAATATGAATCCGTTGCCAAGCGTCCAAATTTTTGATCACGTGATTATGGAGATGCTGCAATGGTCATAAGTTCATGAGTCACTTGTTTCAGTGCCGTAACTTTAAATGGTCACTAAACCATTTAAGGGGAGGTTACAAGTCAAGGACTACCTGTCTAAATGTCATAATGAAAGAAATCAGCATGCCAAGTTTGGAAAGTCTACCATGTTGGACAGTGGTGGGATTCAAGTAATTTAACAACTGGTTCTCTGCCCTAATGATTTCTTCCAACAACCAGTTTGCCAAACTGCTCAGAAAGTTAACAACCGGTTAACCCCAATGATGCCCTTGACGTGATGTCCCAGTGCCTGGAGGCCGTGTGGATCTGGATGGGGAGGAACAAGCTCAAACTCAACCCCTCCAAGACCGAGTGGCTGTGGTTTCCGGTGTCCCGGTATAGTCAACTGGGTCCATCGTTGACTATTGGGGGCGAGATCTTGGCCCCCTCAGAGAGGGCTCGCAACTTGGGTGTTCTCCTGGATGCACGGCTGTCCTTGGAAGAGCATATGATGGCCGTGGCCAGGGGGGCTTTTTATCAGGTTCGCCTGATACACCAGTTGCGACCCTTTCTGGACCGGGATGCCCTGCGCACAGTCACTCACACCCTCGTCACATCCTGTCTGGACTACTGCAATGCTCTCTACATGGGGCTCTCCTTGAAGAGCACTCGGAGGCTCCGGCTGGTCCAGAATGCGGCCGCGCGGGTGGTTATGGGGGTGACTCAGCGCTCCCATGTAACACCCCTCCTGCATGAGCTGCACTGGCTCCCGGTGGTCTCCCGGTGTTGGTGACCACCTTTAAAGCGCTCCATGGCTTAGGACCGGGGTATATATGAGACCGCCTTCTGCCACCAACAGCCTCCCACCGCCCAATACGCTTCCACAGAGAGGGGCTCCTCAGGGTGCCATCAGCCAAACAATGTCGACTGGCGACACCCAGGGGGAGAGCCTTCTCTGTGCGGGCACCAGCCCTCTGGAATGAGCTCCCCTTAGAGCTTCGTCTTAGCCCCGACCTGCGTACCTTTCGCCGCGCCCTGAAGACCCTACTGTTCCAGCAAGCCGGATTGGCCTAATACGGATTTTATAAGGGGTGTATGTATGTCTTAATTTTTGAGCCAAATTTTATATATCTGATTTTAATTGGTTTTAAATTTTGTAAATCTATGTGTTTTAATATGGCTGTACACCGCCTTGAGTCCTTCGGGAGAAGGGCGGTATAGAAGTCTAATAAATAAATAAATAAACTTTCCGAAGTGGTGCGAACCGGCTGAATCCCACCACTGATGTTGGATGTGGGCAAGGCTAGGAAAGATGACCAGTCATTATGGATGGTTGGGGTGGAATGCAATCAAAGGTCCCTCAAGGTGTGAGTGGATGACCAGCTCAGATCTTCTCGCTATGGGATGCCAGTTATAGAAGGAGGGAGGAAGCATTCAAAGAATGTTGGCTTGTGACTGGGAAGGCTTGAATGTTTGTTTCAGGATGCTGACCACATGCAGCGTAACAAGGTTGGAGAGAAGATGCAGCTATGAGGTCCTTGAAGGAGAAACGCAGGCGGTTAAGACTTACGCTGGTGTTAGTTTTATCACTGCCACCTGAGGAAACGCTCCATCTTTTCATGGCCTAAACATATAAGAGAAAATATACGGTTTTTTTTTTTTTCCCCTCCTCGTTTCAACCCAGAGAATGAGTTTGATATGTGTGGAGATGACAAAAGAAGGTTGATCTTTCAGGAAATGTATTGAAATCAACAGGGGGACGATAGGGGAAAAAAAAAACAGTTTTTCTTAAAGTCTGTAGAGATTCTCAGTCATGGTTGTCCCAAAGGTGCTTATTCAGAAGGCAACTGGACTTTCTTGTTTTTTCTTTGAAGACATTTCGCTTCTCATCCAAGAAGTTTCTTCAGCTCTGACTGGATGGTGGGGAATGGAAGGATGGTGGGGAATGGAAGGAGTGCTGGCTGGGGGATTCTGGGAGTTGAAGTCCACCCATCTTCAAGCTTCCAAGGTTGAGAAACACCGTTTTAGAGGATTTTTGAAGCACTCGGAGGTTTATCTGTGTCCTCAGGGTCACCTGAGTAGTGCTAATAGTTCCTGTAGTCTGCAATCCCTCTGGAAATCCATTCATACTCCCACACCCTTGGTGTGGATGCAAATGACCAGCTGTCTGCAAGGAACATCAATCCTTCCATTCCCCACCATCCAGTCAGAGGTGAAGAAGCTCCGTGGATGAGAAGTGAAACGTCTTCAAAGAAAAACAAGAAAATCCAGTTACCTCATGGAAAAAAGCATCTTTGGGACAAATATAACCCATGTTCACAAATTTCGGCTTCTGACAACAATCTGGAGGGATCTAAGCCACCAATCAAGCACCAGGATTAGAGATCTCCTGGGTGGAGATAATTAAATTCAAGTTTAGCAATTTGATTGACATAAGGTTGGCTATACGTGACCACATTTCTCTGTCTGTTGCTCTGAAGAGATGAGTGTTGGTCAAATAGCTCTACAACAGGGGAAGTATGGCCCATTTATGACCTGTGGACTTCAACTCCCAGAATTCCCAAGCCAGCCAGGAATTCTGGAACTTGAAGTCCAGAGGTCATAAAGGAGCCATACTTCTCCATCCCTGCTCTAGAAGTTTATTTAAAGAAAAATGTTTCTGAGAATTCATCCTAGGTCAGGGGTCAGCAACCTTAAACACTCAAAGAGCCACAAAGGTCCTAACCGGAAGCCCCACCCCCCACCCCTGGTTCAATTCTGGAGCTGACCAGAAGTCCAGTTCCCCCACCATAGAGTCTCCTCCTAGAGCGGCATCCTTTTTCCTCTACCTATCCTAACTGAAAGCCCTATAAATTGTGGAGCCGACAGGGAGCCACAGAAGAGGGATGAATGAGCCACATGCGGCTCCAGAGTCGCAGGTTGCCGACTCCTGTCCTAGGTGGATGGTTGAGGTTTCCAATATTTAGGGAAGAGGGAAGGTCCTATTTTTATTGTATGATTTTTATCTCCAGCTTTCTGAAACCTGCAGGGGGGTGGGGGCAGTTTGAGTAGTGGCACTATCCACGCCGAGAAAGAATCTCGATCTTCTGTAAACATTGGCCAATTTCTCCTTCACTTTGGGAGCTGCAGAGAAACTGCCTCCTCGGTTTCATTTCTACGATTTTAGATAGAGACTTTGAAAAAGAAAAAAGAAAGAAAGGGGGAAAAAAAAGAAGAAGGAATAGCTATTTGCACCCAGGTCTGGTAGAGCTCAGAAACTTCCAAGTAGGGAAAGGCTCACCTTAGTCTCCATTGGTGGAGATTCTTTCTCCTTCTCTGCATGTTGCAACTTCCGGTTCAGGTCCTGGAACATGTCTTGGTGACGTTTTCTTGTGTGCATGATTTTCTACAACAGGACACATCCAGATAAGTTGAGGTTTTGTGAGAAGGAAATAAACATTGTAAACATTTACATATCTATCTATCTATCTATCTATCTATCTATCTATCTATCTATCTATTTATCTATCATCTATAATCTGTCTGTCTGTCTAACCTATCAGTCCATCCATCCATCCTTCTATCTCTTTCTCTAATCTCTCTCATCTATCTACAGTATCTATCTATCTATCTATCTATCTATCTATCTATCCATCCATCCATCATCCATCCATCCATCCACCCATCCATCTATCTATCTATCCATCCATCCGTCCATCAATCCCTTTCTCTCTCATCTCTTTCTCTATCTCACTTTCTCCATCCATCCATCCATCCATCCACCATCCACCCATCCCTTTCTCTCTCATCTCTCTCTCTCTTTATCCATCCATCCACCATCTATCCATCCATTATCCATCCATCCATCCTCCATCCATACCTTTCTCTCTCATCTCTCTCTATCTCTCTCTTTATCCATCCATCCATCCATCCATCCATCCATCCATCCATCCACTCTCTCTCTCTCTCCCTCCCTCCCTCTCTCTCTCTCTTCTCCAGTCTTTATATATAAATATTTTTATAAACAACTCAAGGCAGTGAATATTTCAGTGGCCAAATAGCATTACAAGCAATCCTTTCCCTGATTTCTCCTTTTCTGGTTTCATTTTTTAAAAATTATTTATTGAGGCCTTGAGTAGAAAATCTGTTCCTCACGAAAGATAGTCCTCAACTTATGACCACAACAAATGTTTTTATCATGGAAGCAAACCCCAAATACTCACCTCAAAATCTAGTTCTGCATATCGGGATTTCCGCCTCTGAAAATGAAAGGAAGAGGAAGAACTATGATTAACGCTTGACAAGAGATGAAATACACCAGTGGCGGGATTCAAATAATTTAACAACCGGTTGTTTGGCTGCCTGCCACAAAGGAAAGGGGGTCAGCTTCTTTTCCAAAGCCCCAGAAGGCAAGAGAAGAAACAGTAGATGAAAAAGTAATCAAGGAGAGAAGCAACCTGGAATTAAGGAGAAACTTCCTAACAGTGAGAACAATTAGAACAGCTTGACTTTCAGAAGTTATGGGTGCTTCATCACTGGAGGTTTTTAAAAAGAGACTGGACAGCCCCTTGTCTAAAATGGTCTAGGGTCTCCTGCTTGATCAGGGGCTGGACTAGAAGACCTCCAAGGCCCCTTCCAGCTCTATTCTGATTCACTCTCTCTCTCTTGGCTAGACTAGAGAAAAGAAGGACTAGGGGGGACATGATAGCAGTCTTTCAATATTTGAAGGACTCCTACAAAGATGACGGGGTCAACTATTTTCCACAGCATCAAAAAGCAAGATGAGAAACAACGGATGGAAACTAACCAAGGAGAGAAGCAACCTGGAACTAAGGAGAAATTTCCTAATGGGGAGAGCATAAACCAACAGAATAGCTTGCCTCCAGAAGTTGTGCTCAAGAGACTGGACAACCATTTGTCTGAAATGGTATAGGGGGTCTCCTGCCTGAAAAGGGGGTTGGACTAGACTAGGGGTCACCAACCTTTCAGACCTCAGGGACCACTAAATTCATAATTTTAAATCCCGCAGATCACTAATATGATCTGCCTAATGACCGGCTGAGTGGATGTGGCTAGGTGGTCAAGTGACTGGATAGGTGTGGTCAACTTGATGTCACTCACGTTGAGGAGCGCCTCACCGGCCTCTACTCGCCCCTCCCCTCCCAGCCCCTCCTTGGCTGCCCGCCCGGGCTCCTTAGTGCCCCAACAGGAAGCAGTTGTTGGAGATAAGCAGCCACCATGAGAAAGAGTTGGCAAAACAGCTGGCTCAGTTCAAATTGGATCTGGCCAAGAAGGTGGCACAGCAGAAGCACCTCACTGAGGACTAGGAGCATAGGCTTTCCAAGCAGAGGGAAGACCTGCGGGAGTGCATGGCCAGGTACATGTGCCTGGAGGCTGGAAGCAGGCTGAGATGGTCAGCCAGTTCCAGGCCATGATGCAGTCCCACTGGAACGAGGCCCTCCGGCTCTTTGCCACCAGCGGCGCTTCCCTCCAGCCTTCACGCAAAGCCCCACACCAGGAGGGTGAAGCAGACCCCAAGTCGGAATTTCTGCCCCCCTCCAACTTGCACAAAAAGACCTCGAAGGGGGAGACTCTCTGCAGCAACACAAATGTTCATTGCACGTATCTGGCCCAGGGTCTGTAGTTTGAGGACCCCTGATTTAGTGCAAAATAAAGAATGCAAATAATTTTTCTGCAGACCACCAAAATTTTCTCATGGACCACCAGTTGGTGACCGCTGGACTAGACGACTCTATTATTCTATATTCTATGTTCAATGTTTCTCTACCGAGCTTCTGTTGTAGGAGAGATGGAAGGGAGAATGCAATTGATCTGATCTGATCTCCTAAACTAAGGGATCCAACCTTGGCAAGTTTAAGACTTGTGGGCTTCAACTCCCAGAATTCCTCCCTCTCAAAACGACAGAAGCAAATGGTACTCAAAACTGGAGAGACTCAGCTGACTTCTAACCAGGTTTCCATAAGAAACATTTCTTCTATTATGACTCTCCGTATTTCTCTCCCGGAAACACCCCAATTCCTGCATCATTGGTCCAACATGATGATGAGGTTCTGGAGCTGAGATTTACATCCAGCTGGGACTCATAGAAGGAGGCTCAATGGAGATGATATCAGAAAGACGCTACCCAGGTCCTTCTCGTCCTTTGAAGGACAATTAGGAGAGATAAGTGGGGAAATTAGTAAATGTAAAATACTTTGTAAGCACATTCCATGCATAGCAAATGATTGTCATTAATGAAGGGCATTAATTAATGAAATCATTTTAGGAGTGCCATCACAAGCCAACACTCTTTGAGATCACACTGCTGGAATTCATTGACAAAAATGTCCGGTCTAAACTTATCTTTTAAAACTTGAGCAGGGGATTGGACTAGAAAACCTCCAAGATCTTGGAGCCTGGATAGCTCAACAGACAGAGCTCTGTAATTTAACACCAGCTGTCTGCAATTAAAGTAAGATCGAATCTCGCCAGGCTCAAGGTTGACTCAGCCTTCCATCCTTTCTAAGGTAGGTAAATTGAGGACCCAGTTTGTGGGGGCAATAAGCTGACTTTGTATAAATATACAAAAGTATGAAGGCTATTGCTTAACGCATTGTAAGCCGCCCTGAGTCTCCGGAGAAGGGAGGCATATAAAAATAAATAAATAAATAAAGATCCCTTCCAATTTTGTTATTCCGCTATTCAGTTATTCTATAAAACAGCCATAATGGCTGGAGGGAATTCTGGGAGTTGAAGTCCACAAGTCTTAAAGTTGCCAAGCTGGAGACCCTTTCTCCTAAAACAAACACTGAAATGTCTACCACTTGGAATCTGGGCTCAAAATAAGATTGCACCTCGCTGTTTTAAGAGATCTGTCCTATTCTGAGTAGCTATGCTTTAAAAAAAAATAGTTTCAGTTAGCAAGAATGGGATTTAAGGACTTCTCCAACCCAAGTATGGAGAAGGCCACCAACTTTCAGCCACTTACTTCTAGGGAACTCATGGAGAGGGTGGCGACTGTCTCATTCTTGGTCATGATTCCAGTATTACTGGTCTTGAGCGTGTCACACAAGCTGTTGGGCATCTGTGAGTCCGTGGATTTATTGACCAACGGAGGAGACAATGGTTGCTGCTGCATCATTGAAGAAGCTTGTCCTTCTCCACAGCTGATGCCTGCAGGTTCTCTTGGGGGGCTTTTGACCACAAAGCCCGGATCTGTGGCCATGCTGAGGTGGATGAGTCTCGTCTGGGGCATCTGGTCAATGTTGATGCTGTACTTGGTGTCATCCTTGGGCGGTGGTGGAGGTGGAGGTGGTGGTGGTGGTGGAGGCGGCTTGGGCCTCAAGGTGGAGGTGCTGGTGGGCAGAATGACGTAGCTGGTGTCCCTGGTTTGATCCTGTGCCCGCGAGAGCTCCGAATCCAGCTTTTTGAAGATATCTCCATCGCAGATGTAGATGGATTTCGGAGGTTGGCTTTTGTCCTTCTTCAAAGTCAAGGTGTGGTTGTTGAAGTCATTGAGGTTGATGGCGCCCAGGTAGTGTGGGGAGCTCTGGAGATGCATCTTGGAGACGTTGGCTGGAAGACTGTTGAAGTTGGAGGACCCTTTCTGGTGGTTGAGCTTCAGCTTCTCCTCGTCCTGCAGGGATGGGCGCTTCAGAGTCCCTGTGATGGTCATAGTGCGACACGTACTGATGTCCTTGTTGAGCACTAACAAATCAGGAGGAAAGAGATGGAATTTCAGAAGGTACTACGGAAACCATGATGTCATACAAACACATGTCCCCCCCTTCATTGTCCAAAACACAGGTTTCCTACTATAGGTAGTCCTCAACTTACAACCACAATTGAGTCGAACCTTTCTGCTCCTGAGCGAGGCAGCGGCTGAGTGAGTTCTGCCCCCTTTTACGACCTTTCTTGCCACAGTCGTTAAGTGAACCACTGCAGCTGTTAGTTTAGGAAAACGGCTGTTAAGTGAATCTGGCTTCCTCGTTGACTTTCCATGTCAGAAGGTCGCCAAAGGGGATCATGGCAACCGTCATAAATATAAGTCAGTTGCCCAGCATCTGAATTTTGATCACGTGACCATGGAGACGCTGCAACGGTCGTTGAGTGTGAAAAACGGTCATAAGTCACTTTTTTTTCAGTATTGTTGTAACTCCAATCAGTCACTAAACGAAAGGTTGTACGTCGAGAACTACCTGTATTTCCTAATTACTTTATTGTTCACCCACTGCCCCAAATAGGAAGGAACATACTCACCCCTTGCCCACCCATAGCCTCCAATCATGGATTGACATTAAATTTGACTTTCCACAGTTTATATTTACATCATCCGTCTGATAAACTCATAAGCTTCGTTTCCCTCGCCATGCACAGGTGTACATCTGAACTAGACTGTGTTGTTTCTCTGGGACATATAATACATGTGGGTAGGTGCATAATTCTGTATATATTTATTCTGTTGTGTTTATGTAGTGTATATTGGAGGTGGTGACCCTTTGAGAGCTGGATGCAACGAAATTTCACTTTAATGTATGCCAATACACATTCAAAGTGAAAATAAAGTTTTTCTTCTCTTCTCTTCTCTTCTCTTCTCTTCTCTTCTCTTCTCTTCTCTTCTCTTCTCTTCTCTATTTCTATTCTATTTCTATTCTATTCTATTCTATTCTATTTCCTCTCCTCTCCTCTCCTCTTCTCTTCTCTTCTCTACTCTACTCTACTCTACTATTCTATATTTCTATTCTATTCTATTCTATTCTATTCTATTCTATTCTATTCTATTCTATTCTATTCTATATTTCTCTTCTCTTCTCTATTCTATTCTATATTTCTCTTCTCTTCTCTATTCTATTCTATATTTCTCTTCTCTTCTCTTCTTTTTTTTTTTTAATTTGATTTATATGCCGCCCTTCTCCGGAGACTCAGGGCGGCTTACAATGCGTTAAGCAGTAGCCTTCATCCTTTTGTATATTTATACAAAGTCAGCTTATTGCCCCCACAAACTGGGTCCTCAATTTACCTACCTTAGAAAGGATGGAAGGCTGAGTCAACCTTGAGCCTGGCGAGATTCGATCTTACTTTAATTGCAGACAGCTGGTGTTAAATTACAGAGCTCTGCCTGTTGAGCTATCCAGGCTCTATTCTATTCTATTCTATTCTATACTATTCTATATTTCTATTCTATATTTCTCTTCTCTTCTCTTCTCTTCTCTTCTCTTCTCTCTTCTCTTCTCTTCTCTTCTCTTCTCTTCTCTTCTCTTCTCTTCTCCTCTCCTCTCCTCTCCTCTCCTCTCCTCTCCTCTCCTCTCCTCTCCTCTCCTCTCCTCTCGTCTCGTCTATTTCTATCCTATATTTCTCTTCTCTTCTATTTTCTCTTCTCTTCTCTTCTGTCTGGTTTTTAATGCACCCACCATCATAAATTTATTCCAAATGGATCTCAGATTCCCTCAACCATCCATGTAAAATTGCAGATGCAAATAAATTAAAAATGCCAACATGCCCACAACATAATATATGATATGTTCTCCAGGGAGACCGTAGTGGAATCTGCAGTTTGATTGCTGATGGGTACGTTGTACTTCCGCGGGTATAACTAATGTTTGATTCTATTCGGTTTGATTTCTTTTGGGCAAAGTAGCTGAGGAGCAGCTGGTGACACCCCCTCCCCTTAGATAAATGGCTTAGATCGGACACGACAATTCAACGGAATGCACAGCATTTTGCACGGTGTCTGTTCAAAGGGCCCGAATGCTAAAGGTGCATGCAAATACGACAGTTCCTTTCCTCCACATCATTTCGCACAGCTCTGGGAATGGACGTGAATTTGAAAGGGGATTTACCCCCCATTTTTAAACTTGTTGGTAAGAGGCTTTTTTGATACAAAGCAGGAATGGTTTGGCTCTTTAGCAAACCAACGCCTGAGTGGTGTAGGAGGCTAATGCCTCCTAAGGCAGCATTTAACATCCAGCTGCCTGCAATTACTGCAGGTTCGAATCTCGCCAGGCTCAAGGTTGACTCAGCCTTCCATCCTTTCTAAGGTAGGTGAAATGAGGACCCGGATTGTGGGGGCAATAAGCTGACTTTGTATAAATATACAAAAGTATATTTTGTATAAAGTATAAAGAGCCTGTAGTACAGTGGACTAATGCATTGTGATTAACATCAGCTGTCTGCAATTACTGCTAGTTCGAATCTTACCAGGCTCAAGGTCGACTCAGCCTTCCATCCTTTCTAAGGTGGGTAAATTGAGGACCCAGTTTGTGGGGGCAATAACCTGACTTTGTAAAAATATACAAAAGGATGAAGGCTATTGCTTAACGCATTGTAAGCCACCCTGAGTCTCCGGAGAAGGGAGGCATATAAATCAAATTAAAAAAAAAAAAGATCATTAGGGGACTGGAGGCTAAAACATACAATCAACGGTTGCAGGAACTGGGCCTGGCTAGTCTAGTGAAAAGAAGGACCAGGGGAGACAGGATAGCAGTCTTCCAATATTTGAGGGGCTGCCACAGAGAGGAAGGGGTCAAGCTATTTTCCAAAGATTTAGATTTAGATTTTATTGACCTTCTATACCGCCCTTCTTCCAAAGGACTCAGGGCAGTGTACAGCCATATTAAAACACATATAAACCACAAAATTTAAGAACAATTTAAAACAAATATATAAAATTTGGCCCACGAAATTAAAAACTAACAAACACCCAATTTAAAAATTCCTATTAGGCCAGCCTGGCTTGTTGGAATAAAACAGTCTTCAGGGCACGGCAAAAGGTCCGGAGGTCCGGGATCAGTCGTATCCCTGGGGGTAGCTCATTCCAGAGGGCGGGTGCCCCCACAGAGAAGGCTCTTCCCCTGGGTGTTGCCAGTCGACATTGTTTGGCCAACGGCACCCTGAGGAGCCCCTCTCTATGAGAGCGTACCGGCCGGTGGGAGGCTATTGGCGGCAGAAGGCGATCTCGTATATACCCCGGTCCTAAGCCATGGAGCGCTTTAAAGGTGGTAACCAACACCTTGAATCACACCCGGAAGACCACCGGGAGCCAGTGCAGCTCGCGCAGGAGAGGTGTTACATGGGTGCGCCATGTCGCTCCCATAATCACCTGCGCGGCTGCATTCTGGACCACTTGGAGCCTCTGGGTGCTCTTCAAGGGGAGCCCCATGTAGAGAGCGTTACAGTAGTCCAGACAGGACATGACGAGGGCATGAGTGACCATGCGCAGGGCATCCCGGTCCAGAAAGCCCCCAAATGCCAGACAAGAAATAATGGATGGAAACTGACCAAGGAGAGATTCAACCTAGAAATAAGGAGGAATTTTCTGACAGTGAGAACAATCAACCCATGGAACAGAAGTTGCCTTCGGAAGTTGTGGGAGCTTCATCACTGGAGGCTTTCAAGAAGGGCCTGGACTGCCATCTGTCAAAAATGGTGTAGAGTCTCCTGGTTGGGCAGAGGGTTGGACTAGATGACCTACAAGGTCCCTTCCCACTCTGCTAATCAGTACTTTAGTTTTTTGGAGAATATATGCACGTTCAAAGAACATACTTGGAAAGTTCACAAATCTATGGAACCTGCTGGAATCAAGACCATCCGAAATCCAGGAATACAGGTAGTCCTCGAGTTATGACCACAATGGAGCCCAAAATGTAGGTTGCTAAGTGAAACATTGGTTAAGCGAGTCAATTTATGACTTTTCTTGCTGCAGTTGTTAAGGCCTCTTTCCTCTGTTTTAGGACCTCTTTCCAGAGC